AGTGGTAGTGGTAGTGGTAGTGGTAGTGGTAGTGGTAGTGGTAGTGGTAGTGGTAGTGGTAGTGACTGGTAGTGGTAGTGGTAGTGGTAGTGGTAGTGGTAGTGGTAGTGGTAGTGGTAGTGGTGGAAGAAGTAGTAGTAGTAGTAGTAATAATAGTCGTCGCAGTGGTAGTATAGTAGTAGTAGTAGTAGCAGTAGCAGTAGCAGTAGTAGTAGTAGTAGTAGTCGTTGTAGTAGTAGTAGTAGTAGAAGACGACGACGAGAAGTAGTCGTCGTCGTAGTTATTAGTACCAGTAGTAGTAGTAGTAGTAGTAGTAGTAGTAGTAGTACTACTGCTACTACTACTTCTATACTACTGCTACTACTACTACTACTACTACTACAACTGCTACTACTGCTACTACTGCTACTACTACTACCACGACTACTACTACTACTACTACTACTACTACTACTACTATTACTACTGTTACTACTACTACTGCTGCTGCTGCTGCTGCTGCTGCTGCTGCTGCTGCTGCTGCTGCTGCTCCTACCCCTACTACCACTACTACTACTACTACTACTACTACTACTACTGCTACTACTACTACGACGACGACGACGACGACTACTACTACTACTACTACTACTATTACTTCCTCTACTACGACTACTACTGCTGCTACGACGACTACTACTACCATTACTACTACTAGGACTAGGTCTAGGACGAGTCGTATGAGTAGTAGAAGGGAAGCCACGACACATCACGTAGGCGATCTGTCTCCGTGTCCGTATGCATTGAAGTGTATCTGTTCGGCTCAAGCGCAGCAAGTACTCGTGTGAGCCAACAGTGCTGCCTCTGTGGTCCATTGGCAAATTTGCATCACCGCTGTTGTTGCTTGCTATCGTACCGGTATCCTGCCAGCCCCGAAGACAAAGACTGTTTGCTTCTTGTCGTCTTGTCAATTCTGCGTTGGCACTGCGCAGGGTCTTTCAATAAGCAGCCGGCCTTCCGTGGGATGCTAGCAGCCTCTGGATGTCCGCGCAGATTGAGTCTATGAATTGCAAAGATCTGAAACTCAAATTCGAGGAAGATTTTGGATTCAAGCCAAAGCTTGAGCGTCTGGAAGAGGCCGGCTCGAAGATTCGATGTAGAGTCACCAATGCCCGTGACCTCATCGGAGATTCAGATGCTCCATGGGGTGAACCGCGAGGTACGCTTTCAGCTGCAGAAGTTTCAGCGCTGCGGCAGGTTTTTGCACTTGTGGACGGACAGCGACAGCGGTCACACAAGCCCTCTAGTTGCTCAAGTTACGTTTCTGCTTCCAGCACGCCAAGCCCGTCGATTTCAGCTCCGTCAAGATTAGTCGCTGAGTTGCCCCCTGCTGCAGGCCTGCTCATGTCTCTTTCGTGGTGGAGCTTAAATATGTGAAACCCCATTGCAAATCTCCAGTCCTTCAGGGACAAGTCTTGGATTGAGCCGAGATACCTGGTTGTGTCAGAAGGCTTTCTGGCGGTCGGGAGATCACTTCCCAAATTCGAACTCCACTAGGAGTAGTGGCACGGGTACGGGTGTGAGGTTGTGGTTCCGCAGGGCCAGGCGTAAGGTAGGCAAAAGGTGGGGTAGGCGGGAAGAGTGGGAAAAAAGTGTGAAAGTGGGTGAGGATGCCTATGAAGGCTGAGGATGATGAGGGATGAGGATGCGTAACAGTCTTACAAGGAGTTGTTTGTCAAACAACCTGTTGCGAATGAAGGCGGGGAGCATGAAAGTTTTGTAGGTTTCGGTAGGTTGTATCGGTCAATGTCAAGAGCCTAAACGATTGAGAGGACCCGAGCTTCTGTATCGCAAGGGCATGGATGTGCCGGTGCCAGATGAAATCTTGGATTTGGTGGACGCGTTTGAGCAGGCTCCGCCGGTGCGAGGAGCCCTGGAGGTCTCGGAAGTCTATCGAGCGAATGCCCCAAAGCATCTGCAAGACTCATGGAAGTCACAGAAGACACTTTTGCAGGATCGAAACAGCGACCCGACTTTTCCACGGGCAGCTTGGCAAGACTGTCCGGGGACAGACGACGTACTGCGCAGAGAACGTGAAGAAGTTGCCTGGCAGTTGCTGTCCATGTCGCACAGGCATGTCGGAGGCGTGCGAAGCTGTCGCGTATATCATGGATGTCCTGACTGGAACGTGGTGTGCAGCATTTGCAAAACTGGCTTTGCCAATGTGGCCAAGACCAGTGGCTGGTTTGGGGAAGGGCTTTACACCACATTACATGCGCCTTACGCTTTGCGTTATGGTCTTGGCATGAGGGATTTTTGGGAGAAACCCGGCGAGACGGGCTTTGTCGTTGCTGCTAAACTGATTTTCTGGCAGGTGTATCCAGTCACGGAAGCAGATGACACCAGCGACCAACAGCCTGGTATGAAAGGTAAGGCTATTGGCAGAGCCGAGGGGGCTCGTGGTTGTGATTGCCATTTCGCTTGTGTCCGAGGCCATCTCCCACAGACAAGCACCGCAACCGACACTATCTTGCCTGCAGACATGGCGAGAGGCCAGAAGCAACCGAAATTGTGGTAGGTCAAGAGACCCGCATCTTGCCAGAGTACGTGGTGAAAGTCCAGGCTGGGCTGCTTTAAGCCGATGCATCAGAAGATTCCAGGATATATCAGACGCAGCGCCAGCCGGGGCACATGCAGTTTGAGGGGGTGGGGATCAAAAAATAGAAAAGAGTCCTTAAAAGACATAACATAAGAAGCACGATGATCACCCTTTGTACAGTTCTTTGTCATAATCCTTACTATCATCTATAGCAAATATTTCTCTCATTGCTGTTTTTTTATTCCTATGATTAGTATTATTGTGCTTTTTGCTATTATTCGTATTAGTACCATTTTAGTATTGTTACGGTTCTTGAAATTATTACTACTATTCCCAATGTTCTTGCGATTATTGCCATCATTGCTAGCAGCAGCAGCCACAACAGCAACAACAACACGTTTCGTGAATTGCGATGCAGCGGGAGCCAGAAAACTTCTAGCCCCGGTGGCAGCTGTTCAAACGACTAATTACATCCTCAAAGCCAAGCAAGCCCCACACCAACGACTAAACGCTCGTCGAGCTCAGAGACCAAAGAGATTCGCAACAACTCCGGAGCCTCGATCCCCAAAGGCCCAAACAAAGCACTTTGTACGCGCAGCTCACGAGACATATGAAGAACCGGCATCGCCAATTGAGAGGGCGTGTTTAAGATATATGATGAACGGGAGTTGCTCAACCCTGCTCAATGGGGCCTGTGTTTAAGATATATGATGAACCGGAATCGCCAAGTGAGGGGGTGTGTTTGAGACATATGATGAGCCAGAATCGCCCCAATGGGAAAGGCGTCTTTACGATATAGGGTGAAGCGGAACCGCCCTGTGAAACGCCCCATGGGTAAGGCGTGTTTAAGATTTATGATGAACCGAAAAGGGGGGCGTGCGTCAGATACAGGGAACTGGAACCATCCAAGTGGAGGAGGGGGGCAATCGCCAAAGGGCCTGTTTAAGATATACGATGAACCGACATCGCCCAGTGGGGGGATTGTTTAAGACATATGATGAACCGGAATCGCCCAATGGGAGGTGTGTGGTTAAGATATAGGGTGAACCGGAATCGCCCAATTGGGTTGGGGGTGGCGTGTTTATGTAATATATACGATATATTATGAGCCAGAATCGTCCAATGGGGGCGTGTTTAGGATATAGGATGAACCGGAATCGCCCAATGGGGACGCGTGTTTATGGTATGTGATGAACCGAAATCCCGGATTGGTGCTCATGGGTGGTTTATGGGTTATTGTTTTGTTGATCATCAATTGCCGTTTTGGTTTTGTCCAATTGTTTATTTGTGTATTGATTACTGGTTTTCGATTAGTTTTTAGGTTAATCCCCAAACCCAGAGAAGTAAAGACGCAGATGACCAAGAAAATGACGCAGATAACCAAGTGAGCAACCCAACAGAGTGGCAGGTCCCAGCGAAGCAAGTAAAACAAAGACGCAGGTAACCAAAGAAAAGATGCAGATAACCCCCAAAAAGGTTTTGATAACGCAGCCAACCGCATTTTAACTACTTCTTCTCCCTACAACAACAACAACAACAACATTCAT